CCCATCCCACTTCCAGCTCCTCTCTTCCCATCCCACTTCCAGCTCCTCTCTTCCCATCCCACTTCCAGCTGCTCTGAACGCCGCTTTTTTCCTCTTTCCTCTTGTGCAACATGCAGCGGTGCATACAAGATGCAAGTTGTACTTAATGCTGTTGAATTTGGCGATAATCACCATGCAATATGATTTAGCCTTTCAGGCTACATTTAGATTCAAGGAAACTGGGGGAGAAATTGTACTTGTGAAGCTTTTATCAGCATCCTATATGCTGTGTAACAAGCAAATGAATGCATTTTGATCTTTCAGGCATAAAAAAAAAAGATACCACAAAAACAGACTTGTAAAGTTAGCGGTAGGGCCAGTAGGTACATAGTGTACTATTAAGAGTCCTAAATTTAAAAAACCTCAGTGCTGCCATAGAAAGTATTTAACATTTCTTGAAGTAAAAAGTTAAAAGTGGTTTCACACTGCCACACTGCTGATTAAATGTACATGCAAAATGCCAACATTCACTCCTGCTGTATGTGTTGCAAAATTCTCTTAGGATCAGGTACTTTTTTTGGTCCAGCACCAGCAGAAAGAGTTGCCTCCTTCTTACTAGGACAACCAAAGGAGGTGGTCATGGGCTATCACTGACACAGAATGGCTTCTACAGAAGAAATCAAACAGTTTCAGATTTTTCCAGGCACAAGAAGAGATGCCTGGAGTCCACATGGGGAAAAACCTGAGAAGTATGGTACAGAAAAGTTCAGTAAGCCCAACAGCTTGTCATTTTGCATAACATAAAGATTTAAAGATACTCAGCAAAATCATCACCCACAGGTTTAAGACAGACAAAATCACAGATGGCTAATTAAGTACAGATCTGAGCAACAGAATTACACAATGGCTGTCAAGGAAAATGTCCTGGCTACAATTTCTACCTCAGAAACTTCTTAAGGTAACAAGAGGCAAAAGGCACCAAGTTTAACTACTTTATCCAACCCATCATAGCTATTCATATCTTCAGGTATGCAAGTCTTAATGTGTATTTCTGAAATAAATCCATATATTACTAAATTCACAGATGAACAAGTTTACCTTTATCCAATTGAACCGTTCTCAGAAGTTGAATGTAGAAGTTACTGTTAGAGCCACAAGACGCAGAAATAAATTTTGTTGTCTGAAGGAAACATGCCTAAACACCAGTCACTCACAAAGTATACCCTCTACACTACAGGGAAAGGTGAGGTAGAAAAGAGTCTCTTACCCTGCAGAGGTAAAGCAGACCCAAACAAACTCTTAAACCAATTCAGAAGATATTTTTTGACACATTTTAGTAACTTGATTCACACTTCTGTAAATATAAAAAGTAACTTTTATTACAAAGAATAAATTCTCTTTATAAATACAATCATTACTGTGTACACAATCCCCTTCAATACACACACTGTGGTGTTCAAAATCAGTGGCATTTATATAAAATACTATATTCATTTTTAATTGAATAATTTTACACCCACATACATTATTTTGCAGGGCTAAAAAGGTATGAACATTTTGGGACTTTTTTCAAAGGACAGAGCGATATTTACAAGCAAACATGATCCAAACAGCACACGCAGATTCAGGGTATGCAAACACTCGTACACGAACTGCAAGTCGCACTTGGTCTCCCCTACAACAGATTATTTCTTCACAAAAAGGAGACCTATATCACAAAAAGAAACACAGGAGTAACAGACAATCCTAAGATATTGTTTAAGCTTTTAATTACATAGTGCAATTTTTTTTAAGTGTGACTAGCATTTAAGTAAAAATTAATATTGTGAATCTGTCATTACAAATAATATTGCTCTATAGTGCAAGGGCTGTTGCCTTGGAGGAAAATGACACGACCACTGATCATTTTTAAGTACAGAGAAATGAAATTAACTCCTTGTTCTTCAATTTAATACACGAGAAGTCTATCACCATTGAATCACCAATGTAACCTAAATGCTCTGTACTTCATGATCCATTACACTACACCACTCTTCCTCCAGTTCTAACCTAAGGAAATTAATTTTCTTTAAAATCCATTATTAAAAAAATGAGTTGCAATTAGCAATTAAGGATTACTATTTCGTTTTAACATATACCTGTATCTTTACACTTAAGACTTACCGAAGACATGTGGCAAATGCTCTCCTGGCATTTCTGTGCACAAAATGGATGGGAAACCCTTTGAAGGTGTGACCATCAGGTACTGCTCTCCTTACAGCATCCTGAAACTCTTCATTTCCTGCACAAACACCTGTTGTGCGTTCCAGCTCATAGGCTGCTAATGCTGGTGACAACAGATAGGACAGCTGGTCATCCCAAACAGTCGAAAGGCCAAGATCCTGGGAGGCAAGTCACAGAATGATGACAACTGTGCAGAAGGTACATCAGGATATGCTTAAACTCACCTACTGTATAGATTCAAATAAATCCAAGAATCTTTATATTGGCAGTTAATGGCAGTGTACTCACAAAGCAGTGAGATTCGTGTATTGACTCATACACCAATTGGGAGAAGCAAAAACCACCACCTGAAGCGACACCACAAGTATCAAACATTTATCAAGGAATGAAGTTAAACTATTAGACTAAAACATAAGGCCAGCAGAGCTGAAACCAGATGTTTCAGCTACAGTATCTCTGCACAAAATGCAAAAAGATATGCATAAATACACAGCTAAAATATGGAAAAGATCAACTAAGAGTCACCTGACATTTTTTCAAATGTCTCATGGAAAACCCTTTCTGAAAAAATGATGCACAACAGCTCCCTGAAACACAAAGGCACCTTCTTTCTACCATCTATCTTCCCACCATGTACATGAAACTTCCTCCCAGCATCCCAAATGCAAAGAAGTAGAAAAATCTTCTGTCTATGTATTCAACACTGCATGAGACTTATACTCTGACAATTACTTTGCCACACTAAAGGCTGAGCATCGTGTGGGGAGATAAAACAGAATCAATCAAAAAACCTCATTAAAAACAGACATAAGCTAACAGGGACTTAAAATATCATTGTCTTCATGTCCAACACAGGAAGTATAATTGCTGGCACATTATGCCCTGTAAAAATCCTGGTGAAGGCAAAAACTAACTTCTAAAAATTTCTCTGATTTTGTAAAGCAGTCAGAGTAAGATCACGAAAGCTGAAAGCCCGCTTTCATCTAGGACCCAGAAACATTTTTGCTGGATTGGCAAAGCCCACTAACATCCAGGTTTCATCTTCCTGGTGCTTTTAGAGACCCCTCATAGGTGGTCTGCAGGTGCCAGTAAGCTGAAAGTCACAGATCTAGAACAAGGGGCAAAGGCAGGGTAGGTGGAAAAGCCCACATATGAGGCTGTGGACTACCACTGCAAATAATAGTATAAAACAGCTTATTACAGTCTTCCCAAACATTTTTTTTCAGGTTTTCACCTTTCCCATATCACGTTTCTGCAAAAGCTGATGGAAAACACACTGCAAACTAACAAATTGCTATCTAAAACAAGTATACAATTAACACACAAACTTCTATTACCATGACACATCACTGCCAATCTTTCTCACCTTTCTATGTTCAGAGACCAGTATCCTCAGCTGCACTTCTATCTCGTTGCTTGTTACAGCAGCATCTATTGTAGAAGCACACAGAGGAGGAAAAGGGGGAACTGAAGACGTTGCTCCAGGAGCACATACAGATTTTATTGCTTCTCCACTCATGGGTTTCCATTTGGATTCATCATGCAGGTCAAACACACACACCTCCACAGCATCAGAGGGCTGACAGTTTCCAAAGAACTTTTCATGGTTGAAGATACAACCTATTGTGCGATATGGATACAGAGGCTTGGGCTGTTCAACTAGGGGAGGGTCATCAGGGTTGATAGGTCTGTGGACGTACCTAGACAAAAAGATCCAATTTTTTATCAATACAACTTCTTTCAAGGCAAGGTAAAAATATTTAGATGGGACAGATATAGCCATTTTTCCTTTAAAAATACAAGCCAAGTTTGCCATCAAC